CGTCTGTCAGGTTGGCACCAGGACAAACCCTAAAACCTTTTCCTCAGTTTGAGGCACAGGCGTAGTAAGAGTGAGATTAACCAAACCAATTAGCGATTCACATTACAATGGGGGCAGAGAATAGACTACTAGTCATACCGTAAAAAATGGTGTGGGAATGGAATGACACGTTAAAATGTTCAGATGAATAAGAATGTTTTATACGGAACTGGGACATCACAACACCTGCCCCTTTTTGAAAAACAATCAGAAAACTTTAATACCTTCGCTTTCGGGATCCAGTTGGAACCGAACTGTTTGAGACGAAGGAGGGATCTGAGAGTCGCGACATCTGTTGGCGTGGGCAGCTGCTGTATAGCACGAATGTTTTCACGATCGAGACGTCTACCAGATGCATCAAAGATGAAGCCTGAATATTTTAGAAAGAATTGACATTTCTCCTTTCTGAGTGGAAGGCTGTTCGTTGTCTTGGATTCGCTGTAGGACGAACGGTATTCGATTCGTTAATTGCGCTGGACAGTTGGCAAGCATTTTGACGTCGTTGAGGTATGTATGCATGAACACGTGGTATGCCTGCTAGCATGGTATGCATGATCTGTTTAAAGATGGTGGGGACAGTTTTGGTCTGCCGAATGGCAGACGATTGAAGTGGCTGACGGTAGGCTCCGTAGCTCAGTTGGTTAGAGCGTCGTGCTAATAACGCGAATGTCGAGGGTTCGATCCCCTCCGGAGCCAGTTGGTCGGTTGTTCTCGGCAAGCCGGTCTCAGTCGATACGACCTACGCACACTTTCCGCACCGCCAACACAACACATACAACAACCACGAAACAATTGGCCGCACTACTCGATCCACCCGGTCACAACCTTCTCGTATGCTGTGGCGGCCGACACGGCGAACGTGATGGTCTCCGTGTTCCTATTGGTATTTCTTATGGTTTCGAAGCGTTAATAGCTGTATATGTATATATGTAAATTCCGAAGCGAATATAATACGCATACTTAGCTGACAGCCAACCTAGTAGTACGCAAGAGCAACTGACTGCAACCCCGGGACGAATAGAGAGAAGACCGAAGCTGGATGATGCCAGAGTTTATTACTCCGAGAATATAATATGATATATGATGATCAATCCCACAAAAAACACGTGAATAAGTACACACATGAGAAATGACCTTGTAGCGTCACACACTTCCCCAAAATCAATAGCCTTGCTTTCGACGATATTCAACATTGATGCTGACCTTGATAGTTTAACTGGACTCGCTAAGCTGTTGTATCAACTGGATACATAGTTTTGAAGAGTACACAAAGAAATATAATGGTAGAGGGGAGGGGGGGAGGCAAACAAGACGTCTCTGTATTCATTCTATAGAGTTTTGGAAACTGTTAAAATGAAGCTGTTTAGAGCCTTTTGTCGAATGTCCACAACGCTGGCTACTAGAAGACCGAGTTGGTGCTTTCATAATTCAAGGTAGTGGCCTTCAGAAATTTAATCTCTGACATTACGAATAAAATCATAAGTTTTAGTATAATTGTTTTTACATTAAACCATCATTGATTGGACAGAATTGATCGGTCTTTATTGGTGTATGGGTTTCTGTGTGGATGCCTCGATATTACCTAAGCAGTTTGAGTAATTAGGAACTATTCAGCTGTGTTATTTACATTTTGTCAGTTAGATAATACTGATTTAAACAATGAATGGATGTTTCACTTGTTTGGAGTCGACATCATCAGCAATGTCTCTGGACAAATTCGGCTTAATTATTACAGTTGGAAAACTCAGTGAGGAAGAAATGTCAATGTTCCGAGGCCGTTACTTGCATGCATCTATGAGTCCTGCCTATCCATGTGTCACTCACTACAAGTACATTTGAATTGGTAGATACAATGAGATGTGACACTATCGTTCACATGCTGTGGGGGTTTGGGGGAATATACGGACTTGGTGGTTTCTATTACTCGAACTCTGGCTGTATAGTAAGTCCTTCTAGCGGAGACTTTACGCTGCTATAAGAAGGACTTACTATGCAAGTAACGGCCTCGGAATATATTCCAGAGTGGTTTGAGAAGCAAATTAAATCACCTGAACTCATAAATGTTGGTAGCAGATATTCAAGTTGTTCGATCGCCAAACATATCGTTGAGATAGGTCACAGGATTCATATGGCTACTTCCTCTACACCTATTTACAAAACATGTTAGGTAGGGATCCTTAAATTTGTTGAAGCCTTAGCTATTAGAAAGTGGTAACCACCTTTTGCTGTGTTCATAAACAATTTGTGTTGTCATATTAAACCTTCTTTGGTAAATTCAACTACTGAAAACCAAATTCGATGTACCAGAATTTTTCACTCTAATGGTTTTCAAAATTGATTAGTTAAATTGCAGCTATCTCAGATAGTCAAAATGATAATTCTTTCAATTACTGAATCATAATTTTATTACATGTTGCCCAAAGGATAAACCTCTTGTAGTTAGATATTTCTTTCACTGTTCGTTTTAACAGGAGGCCAGTTACAGTTTACGAATCTTCTCCGTTGATTCGACTTAATTGATGGGTCACGATTGGTATATGAGGTCGTGTGCGAATGCCTCCATGTCAACGGTACTTTTAAGTTTGATTTGGTTTAAGGATGATGACTAGCAGTGGAATCTAGGACGTCTGTTTCGTCTTATTTGGGACTCATCAACTGGATGTATCTAAATCCCAGTGAATAATGTTATTCCCACTTAGACTCGAACTCAGGGCCAGTCACTTCAAATGTGAAAGAGTTATCCACTAGGCCAGTAAGTCATGATAGCCACTCATTGTACGAAGAGTAGGGTTAAACATACACTATTGATACTGCCCAGTACTATATTGCATTTCATATAAATATCACTAGTAAGAGATGATACCTGACAAAATACGAGCAGTAATAATGAAGTTCTTTAGTGTTTATTAATGTTTGTAATTTCCCATTGCTAAACTAGGTCGAATTACTTGATTTCTGTTGGTATAAAGGCTCCTATGCGAATGCCTCGATACTGCCGGATTTTCATTATGTTATATTCATCTTAGTAACTAAAAGATGAACCTAGGATCCACGTTCCATCCTATTTGCAACTTGTCACCTGGTATTAACTGTATCCCAATGGGTTTTTGTATTATAGTGACATTATTCGGCTTTCATCATCCTTCTAAAGGGCATAACCATCAACAATGACTTCAGTATGACGTGACCTATCACTACCTCTCCGTGATTGATTCACTACCTTGCACTCAACAACTAATTTGTGTGTAATCGCCTCTTCCATTTCATTGTTCTCTCACCCACTAACTAACTAAATACATTCTCTTCTCGACCCTTCATCTCAATCAACTCTGCTTTTTCAGTTATTTGACACTTTTCTCACTGGTTCATAGATTGGTTCTACGTACATGCATCTATTGACTGCTGACTGACTGTCTTACTGACCTAAATGCCAAGCTTTGAGAAATTCTCTGGTGCTCTGCGTTTCCACTCTCCATGTTTTCTCCATTGTCAAAAATTCAGTTCATCTCCATAATTGTTATCCACGTGCATTGAGTGATGAGTGATGAAATGTCATGTATGGTGTCTAATAGCCAATTGGTGTTTATGCGAATAAAGGAGGTCAGGAGGGTGACCATTTTGTCCAATGTAGTGTTGATCACAATTATTCCAGTTGATATTGTAAATGATATTCAGTCTGTCTTCTTTGGTTGTTGCGTCGTTTGGTCTGCATGATAGTGTTTGGAGAGAATTTGTTGGTTTATGAATGGCCACACCAATGCCAAATGGTCTCTGTAATATTGTCGTGATTGCTGATATGTTCTTTATGTACGTACTGTAGGATGATGCGTTTGTTGATTTCTGTGGATGGATTTTCAGTTGGGGATAAGCAGGATAGACATGTTGTGATGAAGTTTTGTTGGTAGCCGTTCTTCATTTCTCCGTGAAGTTCTTGTGCTGCAATATGTTCTTGCTCTCATGGGGAAAAAGTCTGTACGTAACTGATTTAGTAAGTTATTGGGTTGTTGCTACTGTGTTTGAGAATTTGATCACTGTATTTTCGCGTGCTGTACATTTGAAGTTCCAATTTTCTGCCATTGATCCTAATGATGAAGTCATCCAGAAATGTCGGTTTGCTATTCGACTGTTTCTCATTTGTGGAGTTGATAATGTTCTCCTAACTAAGCAACCAGTGTTAATACAATCAAGAGGTAGTAACACGTCACGAATTTATATGGTAGTTAGGTGAATCTGATCAGTAGTCGGACGTCGTAGCCTAGTTGGTAGAGAATCGGACCAGATACCTGATGGTCTCTGGTTCGTGTCCGGCCGCGGTCCAAATTTTCATTTCACCTTCAATCATCACCCAGCATTGTTGAAAACGTTGTTGATCGAATTGTAAGTGCTTTATAATTCATCTACTTAATTGATAACAAAAGTATCATTCAAACTGATTACTTCTAATCCTTAGACCACTACTTCTGGAACTAATCCGGATATTGGTGATCCTATTGGAGTTCCTTTCATCAGTTTATATATCTTCCCATTAAATTTGAAGTATGTTGTTAGACAAAGGCCAATTAAGTTCGTCAAACTTTGACACTAAGGTTTTGTGCGCTCTAAAAACCTTGCGTCGTCAATCAGAAACAAAAACGTTGCACTGTTAGCTATTTACAGTTAAAATGATATGAATAATACTGTGACATTGTACGACACCATGAATTCCTACTTTTTTTATAGCAATATCTAGATACTTTGCTAAAATTCTGTTGGAAATTTGATTGATTTTCCCCTCGGTGATTTTGTCTGAAAAGATTATGAAAGCTTCGTGAGTAAACTATCCACACTAGAAAAAACAACATGATGAATAGCATAGGTCTGAGCTACAAATAATCTTAAACACTTATCAATAAAATTTGTTTATTGAACCACACTACTTTTAAATTTTAAGTAGCATAACAAACAAAGGTGAGATAACTTACCACTAATCCTTTTTCTGGAAACATGACAATCTCTCTGTTGAAAATAACAAAAAAATTATTGACTTTAATTTCAGTCTACTTCTTAGATTACAAAACAACAGGGTTTTTAGGTGTTTTTATTCAAGAAGTTGCGCAAAGATCAGTTCAGAGATTAACCGTGGCACAGCATAGTAAAAAGTTATGTAGTGCATAATAAAGTAATGTTCATTTACCAATTGTATGAAGACGGCATATGCCAAGTAATTCACAATGGGAAGCTCAGTGATACTTTTGAAGTGAAGACAGGGGTATGACAAGGCTGCTATCTACTATCACTCATGATATTGCTGATTGTAGTCAACTGGACTGGTTCATGCAACAAACAGTGAGGAGAGAGAAGAGGAGGATACGCTGGACCAGGGGAAATATCCTAGAAGATTTGCATTTCGCCAATGATGATTTATGTCTGATGTCACACAAACTTGAAGGGAAACGGGACTTCAAGTGAAAGTAGAGAAGACAGAGAGAGGTGATGAAGATACGTAAACAACAACCGCAACCACCAACAAGCTGCAATCACCATAAACGGTAGGAACTTAGAGGAAGTAGCCTCTTTCATCTATCTAGGCAGATTCATTTCAACTACAGGTAGCGTCACAGACAAGGACGTCAAATCCAGCCAGGATTCGGAAAGCAAGACAGGCGTTGATTAGCCTGAAACCAGTGTGGAGATCTTCTGCACTCAGCACAAAGCGTGAACAACATGCGAATTTTCAACACCAATTCAGTTAAGTCGGTGCTTCTGAATAGCTCAGAGACTTGGCGCGTAACGAAAGACACTTCCATCAAACTACAGATATTCATGAACAACTGCCTACGCTGGCGCGTTACTGAAACTCAGATGGCCAGAAAGAATAAGTAACAAGGTACTGTAGCTGGCTGGCAACGAACCAATTAAGCAAGAACCTATTGCCCAACAAATATGCAGAGCTCCCAGGCTTCCTTTGCTCCTGCAACTGATGTCAGTCCACGGTGAATAAAAACTTGAAATATTTCCAAATCTCCACAACTCCCTCAAAATTCAATTGAACTAGTGCTCATTGGTGACTAGCTTCGAGAAGTATTCTCGATGTTCCGATGAGAAGTTGTGACCGGTGGAGGCAAAGCCTGATGGTCGTGAGGACAGTTACTCAACGATGACATTAGCTGGCGGTTGCGCTATATCATGAGCTAACAAAAGTTGGAAATATAGACCATTGGATTCTAACCCATTGGCTAGGTCAATGGTAAAGTGCTGGCCACGGAACCTGAAGGTCACGGGTCCAATCCCTGGCGCGGTCGTGGGTACGCACTGTTGAGGAGTCCTATACTAGTCGGACAAAACAGATGCTGTCCAGTGCTTCCAGGTTTCTTTTGTTCCTCTCCAACTGATGTCAGTCTACGATAAATAACAACTTGAAATATTTCCAAATACCCACAACTCCCTTAGAAATTACTTCGTTTTTCTTAATTATTCATTTACCGTATTGTACTTTTTTTTGTTTAAATCAAATGAATTTTGTCCATTTCGATAATTTTCGAAATAACTTTTACTGAAGGAAAGAAAGAAGTTCAATGATCAATGAATATACTTTATCAAGAAAAACAGAGAGAATAAATAAGAAAATGAGAAAAGTTTTGAGATAAAAATAAATTTTAGACTTTTATGATATTCTTGTTCTCATGTGATAAAGTTACACCCTTCTCAAGAAAAATATTCGACTAGAGAAATGAAACCAATAGAAGAAACTATGACGACTAATAATAATAATCGAATTACTAATTTGATCCTAATTTGATTGCTTTAAGTCTCAGTTTTTTTATATTTTAAACCTTGAACAAAAAGTACACGAGCCCAGATGCCAACAGAGACTGATCAATTCAGTCCAATCAACGAAGGTGTAATGCAAGCAATAATACTTAAACTATACCTGTCCCACAAGAAGTAGCTATCGTGACTCGGTCGTGTAGTGGATAACGCTCTCACGTTTAAATCGGTTGCCTCCCAGTCCCAGTCCTGATGGGAACAATATCACTCACTGGAAGACAGGTACATCCAGCCGACGAGTCCCGAATAGGACGAAGTGCGCATCCTGCATTCCACTGCTAGCCACTACCTATCATTACTATACATAATTTGAACACAGGCAATATCGAGGCATCCATACAGGAGCCCATATTCCAACAGAGACTGATCAATTCGGTCCAGTCAACGAAGGTGTAATGCAAGCAATAATACTTAAACTATACCCGTCCCACAAGAAGTAGCTATCGTGGCTCGGTGGTGTAGTGGATAACGCTCTCACGTTTGAAGCGATCGCTCCTGAGTCCAAGTCCCGGTGGGAACAACATCATTCACTGGGAGGCAAGTACATTCAGCTGACGAGTCCCAAATAGGACGAAATGAGCACCCTGAATTCCATTGCCCATCACTACTATAAAAAAAGTAAGTTGTTATTCATAATTTCCCGTTGTTGATTTTAATTGAAGTGGTCACTTTCTATTAGGATATGACCTCGTGCACGGATACCTCGCTTGACATTGCTTGCTGTTTAACTTTAACAGTAAAATGAAGAATAAAGTTCGGAATGTGTATTTTATCCTATTTTGGACTTATCAGCTGGGGTTATCAGCATCTCAATAAGTGATATGATTCCAAGGATGACCACTCTTTCCATTCTGATCATAGAGACATTTTATGAGACCTGGAATATCCAGATGACATAGTCCTGTCAGATGAACACGTGAACAAAATGCGGAGTCATATGGACACATTCAGTTGCAATTTAACAATGTTGGGAATGGATTTCTTGCCACCTAATTGCAAATTATTGCTTCAAGACTGGTCTTTAATGATACCCTGACTAACAATATGGAGTGAAATAGTTGAGTGCGTTGAACACTTCACTTACCTGGGAAATCTGATCAGCCCTTGTACGTTGGTCAGTGGCCGATGAAATCTCTGCACCGATACAAGAGGCTCGATTGGCTTTCACAAACGTATGCCATCTGGGACACTGCCTCCATATCCGACTGTCTTTTTAAGGGTCGAGTGTACTGTGCTGCAGTCTGCTCTGTTCTACTAAAAGTGAAAGACGTGAGAAGGCTTCAGGTGTTTGACCACCGTTGACTTCGTGATGTTACCACGTGAGTAACCAAGAAGTTAGACGTAGAGTTTTAGGGAGGAGAGATAGGTTAGTTAACGTGCTTGTGAACCTCCTTAGATTAAGACAGCTGGCTGGCTGGGACATTTGTTAAGTAAGCCCAACCATCGTCTGCCATGACACATAATGTTAGCTGAAGTAGGTTCAGGCTAGAGAAAGGATAGGGTCTTTCAGACTGAAGCACGACATCAGTGCATGAAGTCCTTGACTATTGGTTTAAACCAGGCAAGAGAGATGCAGACTACCTTGTTGACGTCCGCGGGAAAACCGGAACCACTGGTTGGAGACTGAATCTAGGCGATATGGCTCAGAACCGATATCAGTAGCACAGATGCCTACATACATTATCCACAACACAATCGCTATTCTTAATTCCATCATCTTCTCATTCACCCTTCCTCTGTTTGATTGCTTGCTACTCCTTTTAACCGATTTTTCTTCCTTTCTTCATCTTCCACTTTATTGTCTTGTCACTCGATGTGTTGATATGTGGTGAGGTGTGGAAACTTGGACCGTTATGTGGTAATTCCTGGTCATATGGTGGTGTTGATGAAACTTGCAGTTTCCTGTTGCTTTACTGAGTCGGATTACTGGACCTCTGTTGACAGATGGGCTTCAACATAATGAATATTCGGGTAGTATCGAGGAATCTGCATAGGAGCCCATCTACTGATAGAGGTCAAGCGATTCGAGCAAGTATAGCAATGCGAAATTACAAATGTCCGTAGAAAATTTATAAATGCATTATGCCTATACAGACAAGGACAGTAAGTTTTACTTCTGGATAATAGCTTTTTTAAGGTGGTATCCACCATGGAAAACCTCGCCTGGTTAACTAGTTCACTAGTTACTAGCCGGTCCTAAGACCAGATAAAGAGGGAAGGTTGGGCGTAGGGCTAGAAACCCTACCCCCTGAAACCAACCCAATCTCTAAAGAAACTTCAAAGCACAAACAAAATATACACTGGACAAAAAGTGAAGAAGAGCGCACGCGAAGACAAAAGACGCTTCTACAACACATTAACAAGTGAAGCAGAGCCGGCTACTGGTAGGAGAGACCTGACAACACTATATCAAATAACCAGGTTAATATCTGGGAAGAGATCAGGGCAGCACAGATGAAATTAATGAAATAAAGTGAAGGAAACCTAGTCAGCAAAGAGGAGAAACAAAGGAAACAATGGGCCGACCACTTCAAAGAACTCTTGGATAGACCACCACCTGCAACTCGTCCACATATACCACCAGCAACGGCAGAAATACAAGTGAACACAGACCCTTCGACAAAAGCCAAAGTCCTGAACGCCATAAAGCTGCTGAAATCCTGGAAAGCAGCAGGACCAGATGAAATCCCTCCAGAAGCATTGAGAGCAGACGCAGAAACATCAGCAAACATGCTCACACTATGATAGCAGAATGTTTGAAAGGAAAGAAAGGTACCTGCCCACTGATTGGAAGAAGGGCTACCTTATCAAACTCCCGAATAAGGGAAACCAAAGTCTTTGCAAGAACAAGAACTGGCGCCGAACCAGGCTCCACCTCTGTCCACCTTAAGAGAAGAATATTATGCCGTGTCATCCTGGAGAGACTAAAATATGCTCTCCATTCAAAATTACTACCCGAACAGGCTGGATTCAGGAAGTATATACCATGTGCGGACCGAATTGCAACGCTTCGCATCATCATAGAACAGAACGCAGAATGGTAGTCAACTCTCTACCTCTACTTTATCGATTTTGAAAAGGCTTTCGCCAGCGTCGACTGAGAAGTAGTTCACCAGCTGCTTCAACACTACGAAATACCACAAACCTCTATCAACCTCATTCAACAGCTATATGACGACTCTACATGC